ATACATTTGATACGTAATAATGTTGGTACTAAACTAAGGTGTTCATTGCGAAGGTCAACGAAGCTAAATTTTAGTCGGTTTTAATTTACATTAATTTATTTCCACTATACAAGATTATATTAAACATTCAATATTATATTAAGTAGTAGTATAACTAAAATAGTTTTGACAACTGCTATAATGGACTTGTTAGTGAAGTTTAAGATAAATGTCTGAAGAAATTTGGACCTAGGATAGATCCTTGAAGAACCGCTGCACCGCTTATACTTCCATGTTTCTTTTTAAAAGCTTTAATTAGTAAAGTAATTTTTAGATTCATAATAACTTTCTAAAATAAAATAGGAATTATACGGCAGTCGGATTGTGTATTCAAATTGATTTAATATTAGTTTGTAAGGCTATTTAGAGCTGACGATTGTTTTTTTTATCCATGTTTTAATCTTTCTTAAATAGAATCCGTAATTAACACATTGCCCCTTGCGATTAAGAAATAAAACGTATAACCCTTCGTGGGTGTATTTTTAGACAAAACACGATAATTCGGTTCAAAGTTCAGAGACCTCCCGCACGCGTCTTTTAATGCCTATCATAAAACGTCCTCGCCGAGGCTGATTAAAGTCGCGCGTAATTCCATTTAACGGCCACCGGGGAAGCGCTCCATATTTGTTTGTTTCCCTTCCCTTGCTCCGAGTTTGACATCGCTAGCACCGTTTCTTTTTTATCCTCTTTGTGTCTGACTGGCATATGTACTCACGGACATTTGTGTTTTTGTAGCTTTCGTAGTCGTTAACTGCTTTCGTCAAACGAATTGACGCTTGAAGGCGGTTGATGGATTGTGATACAACTGATACATTAGATGCTAATGTTGTCCAAGCAAGTTTTTGATTTTGCATAATAATGAACGAATACATTATTACAACTGGAGTAAGAAAGCATATTCAATTATTAAGTATTCGACTTATTTCAACTTTCGTTAAAATATTAAAAATTGTTACTACAAAAACTTACATAATAAACATATACAGCAAGAAACCCCCGCGCGCCGTAAGTTTTTGTTCATTTATCTCAAGAAAACTTACAATATTTTCACGGAATATATTATTTTTAAGAATTCCGAATTCGAAACCAAATTTATCCGAGTTCCAACATGATTTAATTTATGAATATATATTCACCATCAGTCTCCATTACAAGCACGATAACTGGTAGCGGCAATATGAAAATACATCCAATTAGATCTTTTGAATACTTCAGAAGAGTTACTACATCGTAGCATGTACGTACGGGCATTTTCAGTGGATTTTTAAAGGCTCACATGAAAGACGCTATGATCGTAACAATTTTATTGCGCAATCAATCAGTTCGGAATAAGTTGTGCCCACGTGATGCATTACTTATTGCTGATAAACATTCGCCCGTTTACGACCGGCGGTGGTCCTGCCGCCTCTAAAAATATCGCACCTGTTTTACTGTTGATTAAGTTAGCAACTGTTTTAGTACAGAAACGGAATGGGTGAGCGCTCAATGATGGATATTTAGAATTTTATTATTATTGTGTGGTCGATTTTAAGATTTAATTACTATTGTATATACTTAATGCTATAATGGTAGAATAATCTTTGAAAAAAATGCACAAACATAGTAATAAAATAATTTTGAACAAAAAAAACCGACTACAAACAGGAAACTAAAAACATTGTCAAAATTTGAGGATTGCCCTCGATTTCTTTGGGATGCCATCATCAGATCCGGGTTCCCTTATCATGGTACCACCCCGTGGATATCTCCTCTCCAACATAAAAGAATCATCAAAGTTGGTTCAAAAATGACGAAGTTATAAAGAAATATATACGCTCGAATTGAGAAACCTCCTTCTTTTTTGAAGTCGGTTAATTAGAATCTCACTTAATGAAATCTCTGTAAAAACTTAGTCAATAACGAGTTTAGTAAAAGCTTGATTGGAATATTTGAGATAGAACTCTTTTTTTAAATTGTAACTAAGCAGATAATAAAAAATATAAATTATACAATAATCTGGAAAACAGAGTTATTTGACCATAATTTTGCGCATACAGACGTAGTCATTGTCCGAAATTGAAAATTCATTGACCATCACACTCGACTAACGTTGTGGGAATACGCCGCAATTCACAGCACAACGAATTCCGCTGGCCCACGACATAAGCAATAAAATAATCGCCCATTTACGCGCAATCTTCATCGAGACTGAGATAACGCCTCAAGAACACACGTATCGAAAGCCATTAGACGGTGTATTGCTCGATAAACGGTTGCGTTTAGAATAAAACCCGCCACTGGCTGGCATCTCCCGCGTTCGATTTACGATTGGGCGTTGCGCGGGCTTTCCATAATGCTCATGAGTGGTATTACGTGTTTATTGACGCCGATATGAAAAGTTGCGGGTGCCGAATAAACAGGCGCATCTGTTATACCCTCTTTATTGCTTGATCTAAGTGAGCCCCCGCGTAGTGATGTGCGCCGACGTTTGAAAGTGTTCGATATGCTATTGCGTAACGTTACCCGCGTGTATGATTCGACCGCCGACCGTTCGTATAACGATTTAGATTACACTTCTCTCTGATCTCGAGGATTGATGCTCCGTTATCGTGACAGACATCATAACAAACGTTGTGCGATCTTTTAGCGATCTCTAAATAATAACTCGACAGATATATTAATGAATGTTATTGTTTTGAAGTGAGAATACGTTTGTCAGATGTTGAAAATAAAATTGTCTAATGTATTGATCGACAGGTCGGTTTTAATACGTTTAGATGCATTTATTAAATACTTGACTAGATATTAACTGCTCGCGTTTATTTTTTTTGTAATAACGGAATGAACTACACGAAAACATATACAATGTATTCAATAATATAAGTTTTATGAATATAAATAATTTATATGCCTCTTCTAAATTGAATTTTGAAGACAGCCCGTGATAAATGCCGATAGATGTTTTACAAAATGCTATTCACATGAAAAAAAATTGAATATCACCACACTAAATTGCTGACGCTACTGGAGACGTCGGCAATAAAGTAAGCCGCATAACGCGAAGGCGAAAATAGCGCGCTCGGAACAATATTTCACACGTACGGACACAGGAAAAGTGACTGGCCTGCGCTGTGACCAAGATATCGATGAATTCTCGTATAAAGGCTACGCATACTAGCGCTTACTTTATTCAAAACTAGCGACCCGCCCTGGCTTCACATGGGTGAAATGTATTATACATATAAACCTGCCCCTTGAATCGCTCTATCTAGCATACATAGGGACAGATGGACAGCGGGACGACTTTGTTTTATACTATGTAGTGCCAGCATTTGACTGCCATCCCACCTGATGGTAAGTGGCGATGCAGCCGTTGATAGTGAGCGCGCTAGCTCAGTAAAAATCTATTCGCTCTTGCCTTGAAGACGCCTACGTCGTAATCGGATGGAAAAACGGACGCCGGCAGGTTGTTCCATTCCTTAGCTGCACGGTTTATAAATGACTAAGCGAATCGATTTGTTTCTGTGTGTGGAACGCTTCTTTGACACAAATATAAACTCACGCGTAATACAGGTAGATAAACGTCGTATAGATACAGACAATGCTCTCTGGCATTAAACTCAACAGGTTAGCAAAGATAGCGGACGCCGGCAGTCTTTCCGAACTGTTACGACCTGGGAACCTTTAAGAAGAGATCATTTCTTACATGAGAGTCTTTCCTAGACGGCCGGCAACACATTGGTTAGTCCTCTGGTGTTGCAGGTCTCACCATCAGGTGAGCCTCCTGCTCGCTTGCTCCTTTTCTCCATACAAAAAGCTACAACACACTATTACTCTGAGTTTTTTTTACCTGCATAACATGAGAGGATGCTAGCTTGTCACCATGTGCGGTCATAAAAATGAAATACTATATTCTAGTGAAAACGTAATCTCATTTTAACACTTAATTTGGGTGCAAACTTGAACTTTGGAAAACATGTCAACATCCTCGGCATCTGGGTTATCATATCATTGTCAACCATAAAATTCCATGAAGACATAAACGGTACTCGCTGAACCAGGGAGGAACGTAGATTGCTTGCATTTATATATTGTATACATTTACATATGTAAGTATTTATGTCGTCATTTATTGATTTTTGCTAATTTATTTATTGTACCTGCTAAATGATCTCCTCACCTCCGTTTGTGTGCTTAATTTTTAAGGAAACGCAATGAAAGTTACGAATAAAACGAATAATATACGAAGATATACAGGCCAATCACGCTGTTCACCGTTACATATTTTAGGTTGATTACATATGTACGTTCTAATACAAATAATTTTGTAACACAGCATCACTGCTTCTCGTAACACATGTGTATGTGTAATTTTGCAACTGGAAAGCGGCTTTGGAAACACTCCAATATTATTCAAACACGCATTATGTTGTAACCGCTACCGACTTAGTTACTTTAGGATCAGATTTAACATGTTCAGGTATGAGGAAGCGAGTCCTCATAAATTGATTTATTGTTAAATGAATTATTATTTGTAGTACAGACGTCAGCTATCACTGACTTATGATTTGTGGGGCACTATTCGTTCATATATTGTTTAAGTGTAAACTTATGTTATTCCGTACGATATGAGTTAGGAAACACTTTCAAGTAGTGTTAAATGTTGCATTATTGGGGGATATTATATCTTTAATACATCTCACTTTAAAGTCGACATGCCATAAACGTAAAGGTGCGTCTTGCTGCTTTCTTAATAAAAACAGCATTGCAGAAAAACTATCGGCCGAGCACCGCTCGATCGTTCATAATTAACCAAAAAATCGTATCGACAACGGATCGCAACGGGCGGCGCACGTCACTAGCGGGTGTCGCGTTACCGCACTTTTGTCTGTGGCGTCGCGTCTAGCCGTTTGTTGTGACTGCGCGCGTTTTTTTTCTTAACCCCCCCCCCCCCCCCCCTCAACCCGCCCCGCCGACCGGAAATGGCTGCCGAGAGCCGCTCGGCCGTCACTAATGACTATCCGGCGCTAGCGGCCGCCGTCACCTGCCGCTCGTGTCCGATCACTGCGCCCTCCCGACGGTGGGCAGCGTAAACGCCACCCTCGCGGTCTTGGGATCTCGGGACGCACACACGCGCACGCGAATGAAACGCATCTTACGCCAAACACACGTGAAACGTGTCGCTGCCACTTCAGCGCATCAGTTTGTATCTCCGATATGCAAGGGATGTGCTTCAAATGGCGATGTTTTTAATTTGATAAAAAAAAGGGCAGGTGTAAGAGGTGTAAAGGCGTTGTGTTCATTTTATGATTATTAATAGACACAGATTAGATAGACTGAAACATGTCAAGAATAACTTTTCACAGGAGCTCTTTAAAATTAAGATAACTTATGAATCGGAGATCAGAGGCTATCGTTGATCTTTCGATATAATGATCGTTAATTTCGATCGTTGTTTCAGAAACCGAGCTTAGCCTCTTTAAAATATTTGCATTTGTATCCTAAGATTGATCGTAACAATATTTAAACGTTTCGTTTTATTTTTCCATTAAAAACAAGGATAAACTTATGGCACGAATCACGTAATCATACCATTGTTCTGTAAACACTGCAATTAGGAATTTTGCAATCGTAAATATGATTGTAGCTTATATGACATAAGAATTGTCCTCTGCACAAACGTTCGTAATATTTGAAAAAAAAACTTAAGGTTTAAAAAAGTACGTTACCGGTGTTGATGTCTTCGACAGTTACTCGTATACGGAATAAGATTTTTACAGAGATTTTTGTATTCGCAAGTCTGATGCGGACATTGTGCTTATACCTTTAGTTAATATAATTGATGTAAATATATAAGCAATGTAAATAATGCTGAATGTTCATGAAATATCATGTATAGCGTTGGTTCACAGTACGTTTGATTTAACTATGTTAGGGCTACGCAGCATCTTTTCAGCATCACCAGATACACGAATGCGCATGCTCATCCGGAGAAATACCGCGGCCGCACGGAACGTGATGTGGAAGTATTATAATTTCACGTTTCGTCTGATGATTGAGATGACCGGCGCCCAGTTTACCATCTTGACAACGCATCTGCAAGGCAACACAATGGATAGGCGGCTGTAATCACATAACACCAAAGTCACTAAACATCAGGTGAATCGCTTGCTCGATTGCCAACTTTTCACATAAAAAAACGTTAAATTCCTGATATAATTGAGAGAAGCCACGATCTTGGGGTGTCCCAAGGTGTTTCTCTTCCCCAAGGTAATTTCTCTGCATTATTATAATTGACAGCGGTGCTTCAAATATAACAATAGATATTTCTGTCCGTTCCATTGGGCTATAGTAAATAGTAAGTACTTCATATTCATTTTTTAATAGCTGAATACCAAGTTCAGGGATCATGAGAGATTTTTAAGAATAGAGACAACAAAGTGTAGTTTAACATGACCTTATCGTTTGCCTCTAATTAATGCACAATGACTGTCAGTTGATTAATGGCTACTATACTGAAGGGCAACGATCCCATTATAAGCGACAAAGCCGATCTTCGTTGAAATTAATTCTCCACTTATAGTGACAATAATATAGAATGGTTTCCACATATGGATAGAAAAAAGAATTACCTTTTTTAACACAGGACTTGTTACTGCACTTTCGCAAAATTATGACTTCTTACAACTAGTCCCCTCTATTTTCTACTTACAAAAATTTCAATACCGTAATTAATTTAAACTGTTTGCTCCTTAATTAATCAACGCATTGGCAGATTTGAATGGGGAAATGGAATATTATAAATATATTTGGTATAATTAATCTACTTTTAAACTTTTCGCAAATTGAAGATAAGATTACCCTGTGTTGCACAGACGTTAACGCAATAAATTGCAAGTGGAAAAACCTCAGATTAGGTAACAGTTACCTGATTAACCGAAACCAATAGTTGCAAATGCGCTGAGGGAATAATTGGAATTTGTTATTATTGTTGAAAATTTTGCATTGTCCTTACTTTAGGATAACACTATCCTGTGTTGCAAGGACGTTTTACATACATAAATTTTACGTGGGCAAACACCCAGATGCGAAACAACTATCCGTGGGTAGCACAAATAGTTGACCTGTGGGAATCGAACCCACGAGCCCCGACGCCGAAGCCATTACCTTGGCGACTGCGACACGGAGTCATCAAATACTTGCAATTACGAATGGACAACGCAAAGATCTAGATAAGAGTTGACGACAGGTTGTGACTTGTCGCGCGCCGTGGTCACCCGGCGACCTTCCGCCGGCAATAAACGAGGTCCGATGTCGAATCCAAATGGGTTCATTTATCGTCAACGGGGCCATCGTAGGCATCTGGCAACCTCGCCCAATCGAACTGACACAGTTAAAATCGTTTTATCAAATTAAACTATCTCTTATACCAATTTCAACCATGAACCTATGTTGTCAAATCGACAACTGGCAGGCACATTTGCGTCAGTTTAAAGAACAAACGTCAAGAAAATCGTGATTCACTACTTTTATAGCAGAGAATTGACTTGCTAACCTGCCCATATGTAAACCGAGTGTATTCTTTAGCTTACTTTTCTGAAAGCATCAAATATTTATAGTCTAAAATCTCACATTCTTCATCTGAAAGTTTATAAGGTTTCATTTTAAGATAAGCAACTTGTGATATCTATTTTTCACAGTGTTCAATAGTTAAAGTTTACATAGACCTTGGACTGATGTTTTACATCTGGAATTTAATGTGAAGTAGTGATTTCTAGTGGTATTTTGCGTATCACAAAGATATTTTCTTCTCGACATTCGTTCTCTGAACCAAAAGTGCACGTGCCTAGGGGGCTCCAGCTCGAGACCCAGGAGGAAGGGTTTTTCATCGCAGTTCTAGAAATCTATATTTTCGGTCTATAAGACTGCGGAAGTATTGCAAGCTTTCTGGTTACTGTTTAGTTTTACTCACCACCACGGAGGAAAACTGCGCACTGACGGCCAGTTAGAGGTAAAGAAAAGAAAAACCTGCACTCTTCGGTCTTGAGACCGAGGGAGGGAGGGGTTTTTTTTAGTGTATTTCTTGAAATCTATATTTCCGGTCTATAAGGCTGCGGAAGTATTGCAAGCTTTAAGGTTTTAAGGTGAACGAAAATTGACACTGATGGCCAGTTAGAGAAAAAGAAAAGAAAAACGGTCTTGAGGTTTTCTGAAGTTGCGAGAGTTTCTTGGGTCGCGAAGCCGTGACCTTGTCTCCTTAGCCGAAACGGTGCCGCAGTTGGCCACAGCAATCGCGAAATTAACGCCGCCGATGCGTATTCGAGGCTGCGTGGGAAAGGCGAGGTCTTCGACCGCTGAGAGGAAGACGGCGATCACGGTGGTCCGTTGCAACGGCACTTCGTTTCAGTTCACACCCCGGCCAGGGGAGTGGATCGTTGCGGACACAGCGCGTCTAATACTGCCGTGTTATTAGCTAGCCTGCCAAATCCACGAGTCGCTCGTTCCAATTCGGCATGTCTGGTGATGGTGACTGATATCTAAAATGTTTTAGCTTACTGGTAGCGACAGATACCCAAAATGTCAGTAGGAGCTTTATGGTTTCACAAGCGGTTTACGAGTTCAAGTGTTGTAGTACTTATTACAATGTTCCCGTATTATTATGGCGTACCCTCAGGCGTTTTGAACAATTCTGTCTGTGTTGTTAAAACGTCGCCACGTAATAGTTATTTGTAGTACCTACCCCTCGTCTTCTTGTTATAAATTGCTGGTTCGTTTAAGTTGATTGTTAAACTCGGAGAATCCAAATATCTTCTGGCGTGATAAGTCCAGCACTAAAGTTAACAATTTCATTGGTGTTGGCCGAGATTTGAACTCAGGTCACTCGAGTATATTTAATTGGAGGCGAGCGACCGGACCCTGACCAATGGCGGCTCAGCGGAAAAGGAAAACATCGTCAGGAAACCTTCATATTTTTGCAATAATAAAAAAAAATGTGGAACATAAGTCCAATTCGCAGTGGGGTCGAGTGGTGGACTATACCCTAATACCCTTTATGTGGTACAGTGGTACAGAGGAGGCCTATGCCCAATAGTGGGTCATGTATAGGCTGCTACTTTAGCTTTTAACTTTAGATTGTTACAAAATCTTTCCAATAACAGCACATTAACGGTTTGAACTGCTTATTTAGAACAGTGGCTGGCCGATCGGCCACGGCATGGATATTGCACACCATAATTGCTACTTGACTTGAAAATGCGATTTTTTGTTGATAAATAAAAAAACATCTGGACGCGTTAATCGAAACGCAGGTTTGAACCCCGCAGCTCCAAAAGATTTTGTCCATTTATCTACAAATGTCACATTTTGCTGAACTTAAGTGAAGCAGATAAACCCGATTAATGTATTATTGCGAAATTTGAACTTTTACGCGAATGATTTTCAAGTCTTTCAACGGGCGGGCTTTCGTTTTTAAATCAACTTAAGTAAAAGTTGGGTAAATGAAACTATTTTTTAGATTTTATAGCGTTCTAATTTGATTTTAAATTACTGATGTTTCAAACCCTTTTCAGTGTTTATAGTCATGGGTCAGACTGAGTTGTTTCACGTATTAATGTCAGAGTTGACCCGGGGTAGCTCGCACGTTATTTTATTATTTACTAGCGACCCGCCCCGGCTTCGCACGGGATTCATGTATTATAGATATAAGGTTTATATCCTTGATCCTCTTGAATCACTCTATCTAGTAAATAAAACCGCAACAGGATCCGTTGCGTAGTTTTGAAGATCTAAGCATACATAGGGACAGACGGACAGCGAGACGACTTTGTTTTATACTATGTAGAGATTTTATTTACGTAAGAGCCTTACGATAGTTTGAGGTCTGGCAATGTTGGTGTGTTTGGATTAAATTTTATAAATAATGGGCTCCTCAGCTAAGTACCTTGCCACAAAAACAGTACTTAAAAAAAGCTTTGTTCCTCTAGGCAGATCTGGAGCATCAAGTAAAATTTTCAATATCAAAATTCATTTCTAATTTCGAAAACATAATAAAACAACAGATAAAATAAGCAGCTTCTAAAAATAACTTACCACATATGTAGCTATTATCCCATGTTGGCAACATTGGCAAAACATTCGACAACAGACAACGAAGACGAATAACTTCGCTCAGTTTTTGACGCAATAGATTTAGAACAAAGTGTACTTTTTCTAATATTAGTATGCTTTATAATTTGTTTTACTGTGGTAGGGCTACGCAACAGTCTTCGCTGTTGCACTAATGGGCAGATCCGTCCGGAGAAGTACCACGACCTCATCAGACTGGCGTGAAGTGGAGATGTTAACCGGAGCAGACTAGATTAAAAGCTGGCAACAGATCTGCAGCCCTACAGGGTGTTGCGATTTCCATGGGCGGCTGTCATCACTTAACATCAGGTGAACCGCCAGTTTGCTTGCCACCTCCTCACACAAAAAAATACGTACAGAACATTAAGATTTTCGCCAGTGTGGCAATTAGCCGTTTAGCTTAGTGGTTAAAGCTTCCGGCCGCGAATGCCGTGGGTTCGATTCCCACAGCGGCGACAATCTTTTCGTGCTTTTTCTACATATTTTAATGTTCAATGTTAAGTGCAAAGATTAGCACTACAAACAATTTAAATTTCTAAAAATACGTACGGGATTATTTCGTTGTGAAATTGGGAGCATTTACACTCGTAACAAAAGCGCTGTTTCTACGCGGACGCAGTCATGGAAAACGACTATCGACTAATAAACGTTTCAACGCGGCGTTCTTTTGTTTGTTTCGGCCGCGTTTCGGGATTTCTTTTTTAATTTCCGTCTTTTATCTACTTACGCCAAACAAACGTCTGATCGCTACACAAGCACGCCATAATTATTACGGGGAACGGACAAGTTGTGAAATTTTTGTTATTTATATCCGTCCCGTGAAATATTCTTCGTGTTTTAAATAGTATTTCCTATTCTCGGAGAAGTTTTGTAGTCAGTAAAGTTTTTAGAAGTAGTTTTCAAAAAAAAAAGTAGGTTTCTCAATTCGACCGCACATATTTTTATTTTTTTTATGTGTGTTCGCGGATAACTTCGTCTTTGATTCGATTTTGATGGTTCTTTTTTCTTTGGAAAGGAGATGTCCCAAGGGTACCATGATAAGGAAACCCGGATGGCATTCTAGTGAAATTGAGGCAATCCTCAAATGTTACAGGTATTTACAATGTTTTTCGGTTTGAAGTCGGCGGTTTTTTTGTTAAAAATTATAGATACTTAATTTAAAAACGTTGCCTTCATTAATATATTTTTTCAAATTTTGATAAAAAGGTGAAAAAATATTTCACACCTACCTTTCGTACTTTATTTCATCTGTTGCTCTGTAATGTTTTCAAAATTCATGAATTTAAGTTATTCGTCCGTCGTCGAATGTTCCACTCAATGTCGCCAACATGAGATAAATAGCTACATATGTGGTAAGTTATTTTTAGAAGCTGGTAGCCGCAGAAGGAAGTATAGAAGAACGTGTATTGAAAAAGTTGATGGATGCGCGAGGGACGTGTCAGAATAAATATGCAGGATTATTCCTTATCTACTTCCCCATGGGAACGACGTTAGGGCTTATTTGTAATTTCAATACTTAAGCTGCGGATTTTTTTTGCAAAGGTAACGTCTTTCTTAAGCTTCGTTCTTAAAATGACATCGTATCCGGAATCCGCTGTAGCAAATTCAGTTAATTTATTTAGCTAAAAATCAAACTAAGATTCTATAAAACATACAAATGCCCGGCGAACTTTTTATGTATATAATTTAAGTCTGATTTGCGAGATAGTTAATTTGTTTCTCATCAATTAGTAAGTGTTCAAAAGTATTATAATAGTTAGAATAAAGTTGCGTTCTACTTGATTGAATTGCGTTTGGACATTGTGAAATGGGATTAGAGCTAACAGCATTCAAACGCCGGAATATAATACGGAGAAACATAATCATGGGTTCGAACCTCATGGGTAAGCTACATCAAGCAATGATAAACGAATAATGCAAGTTTTCAGCATCGATCTCTAACTTTAAGGGACACCTAAAAATTTCAGTACTGGTTTCGTGTCGTGTGACGCTTAAGGTTTGAGGTGGCACTTAAGCGGTGGTGAAAACGAAACTAGACTTAAATTTATTTAGGTGTTAAAGTTGGGAATCGATGGTGAAAACGGGTATTATTCAACCTAATGGCTTGCTTTTGTACGGGCTCATTATTTGAGAAAACTCTCGCACTATTGCTTATGAAACACCCAATGTCGATCCAAACTCGAAATAGGGACCCTTGTTTAAGTGGTCGCTGAAAGTGCTGAAACTAATTTAAAGTATTTTTGGATAACACTAGCAATAGGCCACAGATGTACGCATATTTAATACCCTGTCACGTATTATGTGAACATAGTTTAATTTTTGCCCGTGCTCAAACGGAAAATCGCAACAACTTGGGGCAAAATTACAAGCTGTTTACAATTCACTGGATGCGTACAAGTTTTGAGTGAAGTGTTTCAAACTCAAGTTTTGAGCGCCGTATGATCCATTTAACAATTTAATATTATAAAACTTATTGTGACTATATAGAATAGATGAATATTAACATAGTGACTTAGCAGAATAGGATAACTAGGACAGCGCCATCTATGACAAAAAGAGAAAAACCAAATGAAGCTCCCATTACTTTTAACCTTCACGTAACAGTAATCTGGGAGTTTTAAAACATTCGAAAGATGGTAACCCTATCGGTGCACGCAACAAGGGTGTCCGTACTTCCCAAGAATCGAGTTAGTTCGAAAGGATAAACGCGAATCTGCCATCTGTGAAATTTCTCGTGTGTGTTTTAACTGAAGTTAGCGCATTCAGTCTTTAGACTATTAAAGCTTCGTCAAACGCAGAGCCGTGGGCTAGCCGGAACCCACGGGTTTGAGCCTCCACAGTGGGAAGGGCCACGCATGTGCTCATGCGTGCGTTAACTGGGTTCTTGGGCGTGACCGTTGCCAAACCGTTGGGGTTTGCGGCCTTCCATAATGGGCCACGCATGTGCTCATGCGTGGGTCAGCTGAGTTCTTGCGCGTGACCGTTTCCTAACCGTTGGGGTTTGCGGCCTTCCATAATGGGCCGCGCATGTGATCATGCGTAGGTTAGTTGAGTTCTTGCGCGTGACCGTTCCCAAACCGTTGGGGTTTGCGGCCCTCACAGTGGGCCGCGCATGTGCTCATGCGTGCATGTGCCCAAGCCGTTGCCGCCGAATGCACTTTGACAAGTGGGTTAACAATAGGCGCGTTACTCACGGGCGGTTCCGCCGGTGAGCTGTTGCCGTATAAATAGCGGCGCGGCCGGTTGTACGCGTATTTATAGGCGGCGGGGTCATGCGGCACGGCGCTGCTGGAGCACTCCGAACCGGGGTACGGTGTTCGAAATAGACTCACTTGCAGTTCGACTTGCGGACGAGCGTAGTGGTGGTTCGCATGGTGTTATGTTGTTACCGCTAATCCATCTACCATCAAGTCCGCGATGTTTAAGTGGAATTGCCAAAGTTGAAGGGCTCCCGGTTAACGCTCTCACCATAGGAAACTAATGAAATTGTCTTGTTTCCTTTATATTTTTGACCCGTAAAGCTGATTAGGTTCGTGTCGGCACTTCAGTTTCTTTCATTCTCGAGCAAAGAGAATTCAAAATTCGGTACCCATGACGGTATTGACTGTTGCAAGAATGGACAGGTCCAGAAGTACCACGACCTCACATAAGTGGAAGTGTTACACTTCTAAATTTCATTTGGTGAGTGAGGTAGCCGCTGCCCACTTTGTTGCAAATGTCCAATGGCGGCTGCTATCACTTAACCGCCAGCCCGCTTGCCACGTTCTCACATAAAAAAACCTTGCTCGTGCTCAGCGGTAAATGAAAGCAATGAATTAAAAAACATACCAGTATGGACCTTCCCATACGTGCAACACTGAACACTGTTGCGTGGCGCTACCACAATTAAGTGGCTAATCATGCGCTAAGTTGTGAAGGAAAATGTAGTGGGGAAACCTGCATATTTTCTAAATAATACGTAGCAATAAACAATATGACATGGGACGTCTACCAATCCGCAATTGGCGTGCTGTGTACAGATAACATCTTTGCCCAGCACCCATATATGGGCTTTTACTTTATTATACTTTTAGTACAGATTTTTTATTTTATTTTTGTGCTTTTCTCTTTCTACAATTGAGGTGAAACTTAAAATGTGAATTGTTTTTAGATAAAAAGTTGTCAAAAGGTTTTAGATAAGTGGTAAACTTTTCTATAATTCATCTAAAAAAATTAAATTCACAATTTTCATTTCTAAAATTTTTGTTTGTACACAGAAATTGGCTATCCGGCTTAATTCTATCCAAACGAAGTGGAGCGACGGTATTCGTCATAGCTTGAAACCGTTTTGCCGAGAATCGATGACGAATGGTCGTCGAAATTGGTCCATAATCTCTCGTTAAGAACGCGTTAGATAATTTTCGAGTCGATTCGAGAGCGTATTACACGGTCATTACGGTTATTAGACATTTGCATGATCCCGTTTCAAATGGCAAATGATATGTAATGTTATCAACAAATTGGCCACCTACCCAATGATCAATTATGAATTATGTATTAGTATCTAATGGTAGGTTCCAGTAATAAATCTTTGCATTGTTAAGTATACGTCAGTTAAAGTGTTTTGTTAATAAATAACTGCAGTAAGGACAAGTAATACTCTAAAGGTTAATACATGATCTGTATACAGATGGAAAAAGATATATGATTGTCACACTTTGGTGACGACGAATAGATTTCACTGTGTCATCTCTACATTTTGAAGTACACTTGTTAGTAACTATTTTTGTTAAAATGAAAGTTTCGCAAATTAAAAATAAGCAATGTTTGGAATTGTTCCAAACACAATACGGTCTTTTAAGTGCCTATGCAATGGATAGGATTATAGCAGTGTGGCATTTACGCCAAGCTGCTGATACAATCCACGTTGATATTTGCATTGCTGTATGTTCAAATGGGTGGATACATATTTATCGAGCCTTAACTGTGCTATGTATCGAAGCGGTCCAGCGTTGTATAAGGAATTGACTGGTCTCTCGACTCCTGTGATTGACATCGTCATATAACTGTTTCCAGTTTCCATCTATCCAATAATAACACAATACTTCGCGTAGTCTAGTAATTGGGAACGAAAATTTCTGCTTCGTCTATTTGTAAGAAACAGATTGTCAATATATTTCTTCTTTTAACAGAATCAAAATCAAAATCAAAATCAAAATCAAAAACATATTTATTCACATAGACGCTTGCGCGTTCCTATGAAATGTCAAAAATTTTACATAAAAATTAATACGTTCGTAAGTTACCACCGGTTCGGAAAGCAGTTTCTGTTGAGAAGAAACCGGCAAGAAACTCAACAGTTGCTCTTTTTTAAAACGATTAGTTTACAATAGAACAAGTATGCCATTTTAGCCTACGTGAGTATCAACAGCATTAACCCCACACATTGGCGTCGTCAAGATATTCTGCAATGGTATAATATGCCTTAGCCATAAGTTCGCTTTTAACTTTTGCGTTTAAATTCATCTAGTGGCAGACTTAATACCGATTGTGGGATTTTATTATACATGCGCACACTTGCCCCATGAACGATCTATTTACTTTTTTTAGACGAAACAATGGTGTAATTAATTTGTTCTTATTTCTAGTATTTAATTTATGTCTGTCACTATTCTTTAGATAACAATTAAGATTATGTCTAACGTACAAGATATTACAATAAATATATTGGGACGCAACAGTGAGTATATTAATCTCTTTAAAAATATCTCTGAGTGTTTCCCGGGCTCCGATGTTATAGATTGCTCGGACAGCTCTTTTTTGAAAAATAAATATAGAATTTATATCAGATGCACTACCCCACAACAAAATGCCGTACGATAATGCAAGAATGGCAAGATTATTTTGATTTAACAGTACTATTTTATATTAATTTAGGTCCAAGTTTGCGGGAAGTCGATGGATGCAGGTGGCTCATGGCAGTCAGCCTAGGTTCAGGAGTGGACTCAGAACAGGCTGTAATGATGATAATGATTATCAGAAGAATTTTACAAAAACATTAACAGTCAATTTTTAGTACGAAGAAAATTGTGTATAAAGCGAATGGGTTTAGACTGCTTAAAGTTACCATAACATTTTAGCGATTCCGAAGCATAAAAAGATTCCAACTGTGATTAACGTACCATTAGTCTAATTTGTAGTAAAACTGAACCAATATTTACACACATTTTAACAGTGTTAGTAAAATTTAACCAAGGTTTACACACATTTTAATAGTGTTATTTCTATGTGTGGTCTTGAAATTGAGTTTTTTCTCTTAGAAATGTATATATGAAAATGTTAAGTACAGAGAATACCACTAAAAATTTTAAAAAATAATTCAAAATCCTATCAAATAAAAAAGTTGTAGACTGATTCGCGTTTGACTAATTTTCCTTCAGTATATCAGTCTTTACCATTCAGTATATCAGTTTGTACCATTCAGTTTATCAGTCCGTACCATTCAGTATATCAGTCTCTACCGTGACTACCCTGTAAAATATTCAAAATATCGAGAATAAAGCATAATTAAACACGAAGAAAAAAATCACAAAAACAGTTTTACCTTACAATGCGTACAATTAGCATCGGCGTAACCGCAAGAAATTATTAAATTATCCTCTTCTTTTTATAATGCCATCTCTACTTGCTTTATTCTATTAAATTTACATGTAATAGGACAACAAAGGCTTCGTACGGAGCATACGTCCTAATGAGATTCCAGCAGTGCTTCAGTAATAACCGTTTGGAAACGACTTTTTTGGTGAAACTAGGCGTCTAATTGTATTCTAAGAAGCGATGCCCGGCGTCGCGGCGCCAACATTCTGTGTTACAGCCGAACAAATAAACAACCGAAGCGGTAAGCTCTAAACGGCCGGTCGATGGAGGGCAATTAATTAATACCCCTGTTAAAAGACGCAATTGTAGAGTCGACCGGCGCGGCGCTTTGTTACAGAAGGCAAGGTTTTCCTCGAGTTTTTCTTTATTTATTTCAACGTCAAAGTTAAAGTGTCTTTATTCAATATAGGTTTAACTTAAGCTCTCATTGAACGTCAAAAAAAAAAACTACCACCCGTTCACTAAACTAGACCTGAACAGAGAAGAACCGGCAAGAAACTCTGCGGTCTTGTTCTTTTTGTTATTTTTTTTGTGATGCAATTCAATGGCAATTATACAAACTTATTTAGGTATAAAATCAGCAGCATCCAGGGGTCTTGCAAGTGCAGAGCAAGATATTTAATAAAACGTTGCCCTTAATGTAGCATACCATTATCTTGTGTCGTAAGGTCCTTTTACAAACATCAGTTTCACGCGAGGAAGATTATTTATAAAATGAGTGAGACACTTGCATTTGATTATGATTTTGTTAAAAAATATCTATTAGTTGTAGATATAGTATTATGATTACTAATTCACTGCGATATTGTAACAACATCTTGAATGACGGTTCCTGCTAAGCTATAGGTTAGCTTGACCGTATGGCATCACCAGCTGATCACCAACGCGTCACAGACCAGAGACAAATAAAGGTAAACATTTCATATATTTTCGTGTCCCGGCGAGTGAGATAACAGGGGCAGTGTCAGTGGTTGTAAAAATCTAAACTCATCGAGTAGTTATGACACTAATGTCGTGACTCCATAGGCGATCGACCTTACTAACATTGAATCGTGTACTTTTAAATGTACAGCAAAAAAGGAAAGGACCGTGTCTACTCATCACTAAGGGCTGACTGGTATAGAACGTCATTACACATTCAGTCCGCTCGGAAAATATATTTTTTTCTACGTGTGAAATGCCCAAACTCTGCTACCACGCAAGCAAGAAACATAGGCCATAATAATTTATGGCCTATGTTTCTTGCTTGCTTGCATATTTTATTTATTTAATTACCATTACCATTGTGAAAAAGCTCACAAACAAGCTCACCGATTTCTCAGGCGCCATGAACGAACCCGCGCGTGACGTGAAAAACTTCACGAAATCCAGATTTGTGTACCGTTTCCAAATCACGGCGAGCTAACTAGTCATCGGCACGTTCTAAATCGGTCGCGGGCAACACATAAAGAATGGAGCTTCAATAGGAGCCACCAATAACGGGCATTTACGTAAAATCGCGTTACCTTGATCGGCGGCCGCGGCGCTGGAGTTTCGCGGAACCGAACCCAGAATGCGTTGACCCAAGTGTTTACATTATGTACGCTCTGGCCCATTTAAGAAACTTATAAAGATATATATAGACTAGTTTTCCCCCGCGCGTTCCCGTCTAGACGCCCGGCATGCGATTCCGCCGTTCGGTCTAATTTCATTCGGATTTACGAGGCGGTAGCGCGGCCTTTAATGCTGTACATGTCATATCTAATGGTGTACAGCGGCGGCTGGTGGCGATCGTAATGCGATACAATGGCTACAATGATAAGATATCGCACCATATTGTTTTTTTTACAAGGTGCTGCCCGCGACTACGTCTGCGTAGGATAGGCTGGAGGCGTAACATTCAGACGGAAAAACAGATGTACATAAAATATGTGTATAAATTATAGCCTATGTGTTGTCCGATGTTTAAGCTGTATTATTGTAAAGTTTCATTAGAATCCATTCAGTGGTATTTGCGTGAAAGAGTAACAAACATCCATCCATACATACAAACTTTAGCCTTTATAATATTATATAGTAAGGATCGGATAGTGAGGATGTCAAATTGTGGCAAGCGAGCTGGCGGGTCACCCGATGCTAAGCGATAACCGCCGCCCGTGTACATTTGCAACACCCGTAGGGCTGCAGACTGCAGATGCGTTTCCATGTCTTGATGAAGTGAGCCCCGTGTACCTCACTCACCAGGCGAAACGCGGAAGTGTAACACTTCGACTTCACGCCGGTATTCTGTAAGGTCTTGGTACGGGATTGTTTTCAAATCGAATCAAATCATTTATTGATCGAAATATAAAATATACATTTCATTTATTAATAGTCATTTTTTTAAATCTACCATCGTTCCGTAATGAGGTTCCTCTAACGTAGAAGAAACAGGCGAAAGAAACTCCCTAGGTATCCTATTTTTTGTCATTTTTTTTTCTCAAACAAATACATTGTTATAGAGTACATATTTTTTTTTAGAAACAGCTTAGGAGCATCTTAAGCCAGGGGTTATTATCGTTAATGTATTCATTTATATTATAACAACCCTTTTTTAAAAGTTTTTCTTTAATAAATTTCTTAAACCTGTTAATAGATAGGCTTTGCACATTAGCTGGGATTTTGTTGTAGAAGCGTATACACCGTCCCATGAAGGCTGACTGAAGCTCCCATGAAGATGACTCTGTGGAGTTTAGTATTTTGACCTGCCCATTCGTACAACAGTGAAGACTATTGTGTTTTAATAAATTTAATTACTGAGATACAGATTATTTTAAGAATTTTCTTCGTCTTGAAAAGAAATGCATTGGAGGCTTAAAGAAGACCGTGGGTCACCTGATGTTCAGTAAACCCATGGGTAACACTTGAGGGATGGTAGATGCGTTGAAAATAATAAATGTTTTAGGACACATTTTTACGCAACGTTTTCTAATCTCAAACTAAGCAGCGCCTGTACTATGGGTACTATATAATTGATAAACATTCTTAAACATACTTGTGTGTGTGTCTTTTGTAAATAAATATATATTATACATATATAAACACCCAGACAATAGAAAAACACTATGTTTGTCACACAATATTCTTTCAGTAGTCGGGATCGAACCCACTCCCTCTGGGCAGGAGGCACGTACAAAACCCACTACGCCATTCGGTTCGCCGAAAGGGTTGAGAAGTTAAGAAAGTCGGTCCCATTTACCTCGAATGGCGGATTCATACCTTTGCGTTTCGTCTGTCAGTGGCGTACTTTTGAAAGGCAGCATCCCGAAGTTGAAGGTGTCTTGGGCATTAAGTGAATCGTTTAAAGTAACAGCCTTTCCCACTGCGTTTTTAGAGGATATCAGGGCATAGTCTGCCACGCGGCCCCACTGCGGATTGGTCGACTTCACATATCTTCGAAACATTTTTTGTTATTATTTCGAAATATGCAGGTTTCCTCACGATTTTTACCTTCACCGTTGAGCACGCGATAAGTCAGCACATAAAATTAACAAATTCATTGGTGCTGGCACCGGGGATCGAAATCAGGTTGCTCTATATTAAATTTAAGGGGAGCACCCGACTCTGAGCTATCACGGCTTCAAAGTGAATCGTTTACTGATTTACTAAATTCTCTTTTAAATGCTATATAGGTATTTTCACACCAATGATACGATTCCAGGACGGTAATAGTACATAATTGTACGATGGTTTTGACTACACAATACGAGACGGATTCTCCATAAATTCTTTCTCTTAAATTGGGGATACTACTGTTGAAAAATATGCATTTTGTTCCCAGAACGATTGACGCAGCGGATTTTTTATTGCGCGGCGCAGGCGCGCAGTTATAACTAGAATGTCTGCGAAATACGATATGAAAGCGTACGGACTCGACTTAAACAAGCATCTGTTGATTTCATATATCACAATGATTCAATAAAATCGTTCGCGTATCGCATCAGTCTTTTAAAACCGGTGTCTTTTTTATGGCTGAAATCTATTAATGATTTTCCTTATTACATGTATCGCATCGCCGGTGTTAACTTTTGTTTTTAATATAAATTGTTCCCTCGATATATTCTTAGTCATTCGAAATGGATATTTGGAAATGAATGAATAATTGACATCAGCAGCGCTTAACGAATAATTACAAACATTAAGTTTTCTTGCTGACATCGAGTTAAAAACAACTTTCGTGACTTAAAAGTACTTATAAGTATATGCCGACAATTTATTAATGCATTTGGATGGATTAGTACGAAGCAGCAATGAAGACAAACGAAAGGAAAAACAGAATCCATTTTGCCTCATGAGGAAGCATTGCTGGTGCTTCGCTGTAGTACCTGCGATTCCCATTAAGAATTCTTACCAAGAGATGCGCAGACAATTTCTCTATTGCAAAGACTGATGACTCCGTGGCGCAGTTGCCAAGGTATTGGCTTCGGTGTTAGGGGTCGTGGGTTTGATTCCCATACGGGACAACTATTTGTTACCAACAGATAGTTGTTTCGCATCCGGGTGTTTGTAAAACGTCATTACAGCACAGGATAATAGTATCCTAAAGTAATAGCAATGTAAAAAAAAAAGAAGATCTTAAAACCGCCTTAATTTACTGCGACCTCTTTGTGTGTACAGTGAAATTGAAATTTTATTAATATCGGTTAACGGAAAACGGTTAATCTGGAGGATTTGTCTCATATTAATCGCTGTCTGATTTGAACGTTGCACAAATACAATCGTAACGAATTAGCAGTTTTTAAATGTTTGAGTCATTATATAGCTTTTTTTGATGTGAAAAGTTGCCAAGCGAGCAGGCGATTCACCTGAATACCGCCGCAATGGACATCTGCTGCACCCAAGGGTTGCAGATGCGTTGAAAACCTTTTGAAAATTGGGCTCCGGCTACCTCACTCAAAAGGAGAAACGCGAAACTTCTTCCACTTTACGCCGGTATTCTGTGAGGTCGTGGTAATTACCCGGACTAGCCCGCCCATTCGTGCAACAGCCGAAGATGCTGCGTGGCCCTACTACAGTTTAATTTTTACTAGCTTATTGTTTACTTTTCCAAATTTTTCTATGTAAAATATCTAAAATTGACTGTAAGTTCAGATAATTCAGAACTTCTTAGTAACGAAATTCATAAGATTTGACGAATCCGTCGGTTCAGATGTTAAAAGGACGGGTTCAAAACATGCCGAATACAATTTTTTTTAACCGGGACAATTATCCCTGATGCGGGTTTGTGCTATGTAACATTTGTGTAAGTAAAACAATTAGATTATGAACTTAGTATTAAGAAATATGCATTTTTAATGTCATTCCATTATAAAAAAATATACATAAAGTTAAAAATATACATTTTTAACGTCATTAGTTTAAATTTTTTTGCTTACTATACTACTTTTTTTATTAATCTTAAAGAATGATTTAATTACCTTTAATTGCAAGTAAACAGTTTAAAAAGATACATTCCACAAATGTTCTTCGGACTGTAAGGCAAAAAGTTCAAAAAAAGGTAAATTTACGAATAAACGACACGTGACTTTAATTTCTGTTGACAGGAGCAACATTCCACTAGAGACGGCCGCAGTAAACTACGCGTTAATTCAAACACTAATATCCTACAGCATCCGACGCATCCTGGCGTCTAGACTTCACAAAAGGCTAGACTAAACATAAAGCCCTACGTCTGTGGGCAGTCTAGTAAACAAGCGGTCGGTTCGGGGAATTCCATTCATTTTGAGTGACGATATCTTATTATGATACCTTTGGATGGCTTCCGATCTTGGTTTCCGTTGTGTTTAGTTGTTTCCGTCGGCTAAGAACGCTAGCGAAATTCGCAGTTGCTATGCAACCGACATCCCATGTGGACATTAAGAAAATCCTAATGAAAATAATTCCTAATTAAATTATAAATTTAAAATAATCCCGTGATACAAAAAAGTCAAATTATATCTAAGAACTATCGCGATTACGTTATCTTTCAAACGGAAAAAAATCGCACCATAATCGTTCAATCAATGTGACATGATAGCTTCTAAACAGAAGCTATCATGTCACAGACACACAGACAGACACGTCAAACTTATAACACCTCTATTTTTACGTCGGGGGTTAAAAAACTGTGGGCAGCGTGCCATATAAAAAAAAAATCCCGATAATAAGTAAGAGAAAATTTTAAATTATTGTAAGAGTAGTATCAATTTTTAAAGTATCATGGAATCTGTTGGTTGAGATTACCCCTGTTTTATATAAATAGTCATTATAAAACCGTAACAATTTCCGGTGAGCAATATAAAACCAGGCCCGGGTGAGAACCGAACCCGCGTTACCAAGACCAAAATCTTTTTAAGGCGCAGAGCTCTAGGAATGAAGAATAGATTAGTTAGTACCAACTTGATGGTAAGTAATTATCGCCACTCATGAACATAAACGACACGTAGGGTCGTAATTATTTTCCCAGCTTAACGCAAGTTATCTGCAAGAAACTCCCTGGGAGAGCAACTGATGTGTAATAGCTATAAATAACATACATTAAGTAATGTAAATGTAAGTAACTAATGTATAATCCACTGCTGTTTTTGTATGGGAGGGA